TGTGAAGCTTGAGTTGCTTCTATTAAAAACATAAATGTGTTAATATTTGTGGTCAATACTGCTCGAATTTTCCAAATGCACTTTATTTAGTCATCTTGCTACTTAATTTCTTACCAAGAGGCCTGAATAGATGATCACAAATTAATCTAATTTCTTCATAATATATGGCATTAACCACAGGTGATCAGTCTGCTATAAGCTCCACCCAAAACTCAGTTTCGACCTCTTTTTCTATCTGTGAACAGGGAGTAAGATCTAAAATAAAGCTGTGCACAAGACTTCACAAAAATAATAAGATTTAAAATTATTTAATAAATATAATCTATAGTAGATCTATTATCAAGAACAAAACTTACTCGTATTTTGATGTTGTTGATTTTGCATGATATTTTTCCATTACTGACATTATATGAGATGAAGGCAAGTCATCACCAATCTCAGAAAATAACCGCTTGTGAGTATTCTTTAACGGTACTGGCTATAGAGAAGAGAGATATTAGTAATTGATCTCAAAATTGAATATCATTTAACTGTTTAATGTAAATAATAGAACTACTACACGTAGTCCGAACTTGATAACTATCATATCTCATCTTGATTAATAGTTGTATCTTTAGAATCATATCCAGATACAAAAAACAGATTCTCAGCATCTATGTTTGTTTCTAAGGCTAGTATTCTAAGTTACAGAGAAAAAGTTAAATATATAATACATAGACAAGTTTGAATAAATTACTATCTTTTGTATTATTTCTATCTATTTGGCTAGAATTGGAGAATTCTCCACTATCAACATCATCCTCAGACTCATCTTCGCGTGATTTTTCTTTTCATTAAAGAATTTCTCTGAGATCTTGGTAGTGGTTGATCTAGTATATTGTTGAACTTGTTTTGTTGTAACTGTGGCTATAGTTATATGTTGAGATATCTTGTATAGGAAATAATATCAAGAGTAAATGTTTTAGTCTAGCATGTTAGATTGTAGAGATAATAAATACCTACAATATTTGAACTTCAGCCTTCGATTTCTCTTTCACCATTCTCGCTATGTCTTGAACTTCCCAGAATTGGTTTACCAACTTCGTCTTTTTATCATTCTATTTTTTAAAAAAAAAGAAAAGAATTAAAAAGTATAGTGCCTTATTAAGCATATAAAAATTGGTAGTCATAGAACAATCACGGACAAGCCACAGCCTTTCTCATTGCGAGCACGAAGGGTCACAAGGTAGTTCGTTGAATGTTAATCATCAACAGATACGATAGACATTTCCACTGCAAGCACGAAGGGTTACAGGTAGTTGATGCACTCTGATTGTCATCATTAAGTATTACTCATCAACAGGCATGATAGATGTTCCCACTGCAAGCACGAAGGGTTGCAGGGTAGTCGATGTACTTGAGCAACCACAAAGTAATCCAAAAAAAAATACATCTACCTTAAAGGCACCCTTCCATTTGGCTATCTTTTGTTCTATTTTAGACATTTCTGCATAGTGTTTACTTATTGTGTTTAACTCGTTATTGTAGCGATTATATTCTGTTTTTTTATCTTCCAGATCGCTGGCAGAGAATTGAAAGTTCAAAAATTTTAGGAGCGTAGGGTTTTCTGTATTCTTCCAAAAAGCTACACTTAAATAGCAGATTAATAACATGCTATAAAGCACTACCAAAAACATAATTTGCCTTACCTTGGTACTGCATAGCTTTAAGATACTCGAGAAAAAATTGTTGCATCTTTTAGA